TACTACTACTACTACTACTACTACTACTACTACTACGACGGCGGACGACGACGTATACTACTATTATCCACTTACTATACTACTACTATTACTGCTTACTACTACTACTACTGCTACCACTACTTACTACTACTACTACTACTACTACGACTACTCTACTTACTACTACTTACTACCTTATACTACTACTACTTACACCACAACAAGAACTACCAACTCACAACACAACACACACTCCCACAAACCAACCACAGACACTACACCATTTTAGTGACACACTTTAACAACAACGGATAAACAACCAAAGACACACACTACTACTACTACTACTACGGCTACTTACCAAACTACTAATAATAGCTGTACACCACTCTAAGCTACTACTTACTTACATACTACTACGACGCGACGACGACGACGACGACGACGACGACTACTACTACTACTACGACGACGACGACGACTACTACTACTACTACTACTACCCCTACCACTACCACTAAAACTGCAACTGCTACGACTACTACGACTACTACAACTACGACTACTGATGCTACGACTACTACTAGTGGTAGTAGTAGTAGTAGTACTACTACTACTGCTACTACCGCTACTACTACTACTACTACTACTACTACTACTACTACTACTACTACTACTACTGCTGCAACTACTAATACAACTACTACTACGACTACTACTACTACTACTACGACGACGACTGCTACTCTTACTTCTTCTTCTTCTACTACTACTACTACTACTACCACTACTACTACTACTAATACTAATACTACTACTACTACCACTACTACCACTACTACCACGACTACCACTACTACCACTACTACCACTACTTCTACGACTTCTACCACTACTACTACTACTACTACTACTACTGCTACTGCTGCTACTACTACTACTACTACTACTACCACTACTACTACTACTACTACTACTACTACTACTACTACTACTACCACTACCACTACTACTACTACTACTACTACTACTACTACTACTACTACTACTACTACTACTACTACTGCCGTGCCTCGTCCCTCGGCTCCGAGGCCAACGGTACCCACACGGCCG